ATGTCAATATGGATAAAAAGTTCAGACAGGTAAGTGGCCAACCCTCAGAATGCTGCCTGTGGTGGACATGTATCACAGTTTCTATTTTGCAATTAGGGAAACTGAGGCATGCATTTCAAGGATTTTCTTCTCTGAAGGTTTATGGCAAAGTCCACTGTGACAAATACGGAAATGTGTAAGCAAGAATCTACAAACTTACAGCAGTTATCCAATTCTGTATGATATTGATGTTAATGAGGGAGAAGGGGATATCCTGGTTCATTCCCTTGACTGTGAATGCTAGAATTACTCAGTATGAATGATAAATAATAACACTGGCTTGGAGAAATCTTGTGAGGGAGCTACATTCAGATTCCTCCTGCTGATGTTTGTAGATGTTTTTTAAACTGCTTATCTCCAGTATGTATTTTATCTACCACAAAAAGTAACATCGCTGAAGTAATGCATTATAGGTAAGTAAAAGTACAGAATAGCAGGATTTACAAACAGAGCTCATCACAAGCAAATGCAGAGCTTTGGCTTTCCTTTGGTTTTCTACCTAGTTAATACATTTGTTGCTGATGAGTTGAACGTTAGGATCTGTAGCAGAAATAATAAGAACACGTAATGCATAATTCATACTTTTGCCTGTTCTAGTGTTTGGGGAATTAATCTGTACCCCTGCACCTTTTTCTTTCTGTCACTGACCTTCCTAGAAATCCGACAGCTCAGCAGCATTATAGAATCATTAAGATTGGAAAAGACCACTAAGATCATCCAGCCTGAACATCGATCCATCCCCACCATGCCCACACACTACGTCCCTCAGTGCCACATCTCCACACTTCTTGAACACCTTCAGGGACGGTGACTCCACCAACTGCATGGGCAGCCTGTGCCAATGCCTCACCAGTCTTTCTGAGAAAAAACTTTTCCAAATATACAACCTGAACCTCCCCTGGCACAACATAAGGCCTTTAGCTCTCATCTGCTCACTGGTTACCTGGCAGAAGAGGCCAATCCCCTCAAAGACTGTCTCAGGATGTCAGATTCCCAGGAGACATTTCTCATTCAGACTCTTTGGGGAAACTCAAATGTCTTAGTCAGCTTCTGGCAATACCTAAGGCAAATTATCATTCAAGCATACAAAGCTATGGAGATCCCCAAGATAACTAGCCATTATAATATTCCTGTATTTTTAATATTTTTTCTTCCCCTGAGCAAGAAGCACTCCTTAATTTAGGGGCTTATGGGACTTGCATCACTGGCTTTGAAAGCAGCTGCAATCAAGCAGATGGGCATATCTAATATCTCCCAGAATTCCACCAAGGGAATAATATTATTCTAGACATCTCCAGTAGTTTTCCTGTAGTAGTTCTCCTTTAAATTGAGCTGGAAATCTCTAATAGGTCTTCCATGCTAAAAGAAAGGCAGGAGGGAAGTCAAGAACAGCACCTCATAGTAGAAGAAGATAATATTTCCTTTTAACATTGTCAATAAGTAACTGTTGTAATGAAAAAGCTGCATATTCTTGTGCAACTGGTTAAATAGAATTTGTATTTATGGTATGTCTTTCAAATGAGACTCATGTCCCCTTAAGGAGTTTTACAGTCTAGCAGTCTATCACTGAGTTAGTGGCTTGGATAAAATTTTTACCCAATGGAGAGGAATACACACTTCTGTGACAGGACTCACCTCAGCGTTGAGAATGGAGGAGGTTAGAGAATTCACAGCTTTAAAGAGGTTATTTCTTTCCACATATGATAAAATGTTTTTCAGACAACTATCTCAGAAGTCACTGCAGACTTCCAAATTCTGGAATGACCACTAAATAATTGTGACTTCAAAATCCATCAGTCACCAGTAAATCTCATATTGTGGTAGGAAGATCATCTTTGTCTTCACTGTCCACCATTATTAATTCCATTCAAAGGTAGTTAGACCATTTAAGCACACAAATATGTCTTCAGATATATAAAAGAGGACATGTATGCATGCACACACATAGAGTCTCTCTTCACTCTCAAGGTTCACTTTGTTAAATTCTGCTTCATTTCGGACCAAAATGGGAAAAAATCTGTATAATTTTAATTATCTAAATTGAGATCTTCTGTACATTCATCCTCATGCCCTCCTTCCACTTATAGATCTCCTTTTCTTTTCTTTGATTGTCTTCTTCAAGTTTTAACCTTGTCACCTTTTTTCTCCTTTATTCTCTACAATCTTTTACTTCCCTTTCTTTCCCTTTCCCTTTCCATTTCCCTTTTCTTTCCATTTCCTTTTCCCCTTTCTCTTCCCTTTCCCTTTCCCTTTCCTTTCTTGGAAGGGCATATTTTCCTCTCCTCAGTTGTCTCATTTTGAATTCAGTTCCTTCAGGCCATTTCCTCTACCTTTTCTCCATGATTTGTTTTCTAAGTTCTTCCTCTTTATTCTCTACTTCTTGATACCCTTCACTAAGACTCTGACAGAAGCATTTCATCATAAATCCAATCCTACCCCTGCCTGTTATTGCTATTACAAAAGAAGCAACTTAGTAAGGCTTGTGATTCCATCTACGCTGGTCAATTACTATCCCAGCTGTTCTCAGTAACCACATGCTCTGTGCAATTTAGGTGTTTATACTAAGCATATTTTTTATCATGCTGCACAGTTTTAAAATACAACATAATCAAATACAAAACATGAACTTCCACGGATAGAGATGCTGAATGAAAGAGAAGGCAATCTTCATTAAATTGAAGAGTTACTGCACTTCAGGAGATGGTACTTGGTCTAACATGATTAGGAAACCTTATTCTTTGCTAAATAACTGAAAATATATTAGGTATGAATATTGTCCATTCCCTGGAGGCACTCAAGGCCAGGCTGGATGGGGCTCTGAGCAACCTAGTCTAGTGGGAGGTGTCCCTGTCTATAGCAGAGGGGGTTGAAACTAGATGGTCTGAAAGGCTCCTTCCAACCCAAACCATTTTATGGTTCTATGATTCTATGAAGGGAAAAGAAGTACATATTTTGAGGATAAATATTAAACCCACCTAGATTCTTTGAGAGACTTGCAAAAGAACAACTGTTAGGCTAATGCATTTTGCCAAGGGTAGGTTCCCTTTGATGCATGCAACCTGAAATGTAGGACAAGCATAGAGAAAATAATTCCTTAAAAGGTATGCATCAAGAAATCATTTAGAGCAAGTTTGCAAGGGGAGACAGAGACCTTTCTGATTTAATTATGGGTAAGAAAAGTAAGATTGTTCTTTATTTCTTCACTTATGTCTGGAGCAATATTTATCTCTACACAATCCACTTGGTCTTAAGTGACCAGTTTTATTCTTTTCCCAAGGTATAAGTGCTTCAGGAAGGAAACAAGTATCTTATCATGATATGGTAGCACAAAAGCTGCCTGACATGTAAGAAGACACTATGAAGCACAACTAAACCAGAAGAGACCTACATCAGCTTTGTAAGAGCGTCCCTAGAGCTTCTTTGCACCACACATCTTATCCAGTATCCACGCATCCCAATCCTATTTTCAGATTCATCTCAGCGTTCCACGACTTTCTCGCCATACCCGAGATCTTCTGAATGTTGTTCTTCCCACTACACACGTGCCTCTTTTTTTACTACTGAGAATTCAAACCCTTTCTTGCACAGGCTAATTCCTCTGCACAGAGCAATGAAATCCTTCAAAGTGACAAAATTCCACATCTAGTAGTAAGCAAGATTATCAGAAGCTATCTAAAAGGTGAATGCTCCACGTCCACTTATATCAACTCAGTTTGAACTGAAATTTAACTGAGTCAGTTACAAAGGAACAAACGTGCCCACACAGAGATACACACACAAAAAAAATAACAGGTTTACACTTCAGAAAGGATGTAGAAGAACTTAAAAAGCAGCTGCTGTACCCTGCTAAAAGCTTTCACATAAATATCAGCACAGGCACTTCATGGACCACAGTTCCCTAACTGTAAAGAATAGAAATACTGTGAGAACTCAGCAACAAAAGTCCAACAGAGACTATTCTATCTCCTCTGGTCTCTGGAGGAAACCTTTCGGTCTGGTGGTTGGCAGCCTGCAGGGGATTGACACTAGATGATCATTATGGTCCTTTTCAACCCAGGCCATTCTATGATTCTGTGATATGAAATACCCTTAGTAATTTGGAATCAAAATGTAATCAAATTTAACCTTCAACGCTGGTGACAATGTATGAAAGATGACAGTTTTTCACTGCAAAAGAAAAAGCTTTTTCTTAATGGGAGATAAGACTTGGCAGCTATTAATTCTGCTTTAAGAAAAACAGAAAAAGACATATCACCAAGAGAGGCAAACACTTTCTTCAGGTATAATGAGCATTAAATTAGTTTAATGATCCAGTGTAATAATACTTTGAATTCAAGAAAGGCATGTGGCATCCAGCTGGCCAAGAGATTTTGACTATGTGCCACTACAAATCTAGACTTGCCTATAATGTCTGTGGAACCAGACCAAAGCATGAACACAAATTTCACTCCAGTGAAGTGCAAAATCCTTGTTTGGTTTCAGGCTTTTGAGTTGGTATTTCACATGCTGAGACTGACAATTAGCTGCCTTTTCAGCTGTCAGAACACGACCTTATTCCCTACCCATTCTGGTCTTGACTGACCACTGAGATGCTGAAACTTCCATCTAATTTCTGACTTTCTGCTGCAAACAAACTGTAACTGAGATTCAGTAATTGGGAGAAGAGGTGGTTTTCCCTCAGGAGAGAAGCAAAATGTTTTTGCAGTACAAAGACTACCATTTGATTAAATGAATAAAAATGCTGTAGAAAAAAATTCCAGATTGGTGAAAAAATTGAGATCATCACTCCAAAATTAAACCTGTTTTTTGGTGTTGTTTTCTTTTGTTGTTTTTGTTGTTGTTTATTTGTTTATTTGTTTTATCAGAGTTCTGATTTATGAAAATAAAATCTGGATGTAAAGTTCTTACTGGTGTATACTCTCTGTTCATAATGAGAACACAAAGTAATTGTAAAATGATACCTTTTTTGTTGCTCAATGCATTGCCACATGAGAGGACTCATCCACAATTTTGTCCCCTCAAGAGCCAGAGGTCCCTATTAATTTGTGCAGAGCAAAACATTCAGTTTTTCTTCTTCATTTTCATAGAGCTGAAAAAGAAAAGAAAGGAATATCAACTTCTCATGATACATAGTCTTCATCAGTGTACCTTACTTATGTAGTGTTACAACCTTTCCTCTATTTACCAGGTTCATAACAACTGGCAGATATAAACATTGTACTTCAGTGTAATTACAAAAAAGAAAAAAGAAAAGAAAAAGGCTCTAATATTACTCATTATGAAAACATTGTGTGACTTAGTAAAAGGAGCCACTTACCAGGAGCATAACTTTGTAGTCGGAGAAATGCCTTTGGTCCCTGTTACTTGGGCCAGGTGGATCATACTGCCTAATCTTTTGTGCATCCAAGGACATCGCAATGCAACAGCCGCTGGCAGTGAAGTGTGGGAGATGGTTCCATGTCTGGTTGCTTTCTTTGTGAAGCTATCTTGAAAATGAAGAGATCTCCTTTGCTTTTTTTTTAATCACTATCTCGCAAAAAGCACAGATGCAGCTATTGGCACGATCGTCCCTTCAGAGTATTCTGTTAATGTAGGAGTGGATTTGGGATGTCTTTGATTTTCTTCCTGATCTCCTGTCTTTTACTCTTACTTAAATACTAATGTAGCCAATGTCCAGAAGTAGGCAACAAGAGTGAAAAGAAGAGCAATACTACCTCTTAGGATTTATCTACTTTGCTTATTTAAGTTCATCTTCTAGGTTTTCCATGAAGTATCACGAGTGTTTCAGCTAAAGACATGTTTAAAATCAGAGATGTACATATGACATATTTCCTTTAATAAGACTTTTGAATATTAGAATCAATCAATCACATAGAAAAATCTGTCATTTATATATTTGTGTTGACCAAATTGGCTGAATAAAATGTCTTGAGTACCGATGTACTGGGGGAAGAGTAGTCTGAGAAAGAAAGCAATGAAATAAATACAGTGCACAGAAAACTTAGGTGTACAGAGCTGATCATTATTACCATGTTTCTATGGAATCATTCACTTGCTATCTGCATGGCAAGCAAACCATCACAGTTATGATTATGCTAATGAATCCAATATGGAGAAGAACCTATTCCATTAGAAACGCATACCTTCCCCTCATTCCTGCTCACACACAGCAAGACACCTGTGCCCATTTAATTAATTTTCAATTATGGTGTTGGCCTTCCCTGTGAACTACCCCCAGAAAGATTTGTGCATTCAAGTGATTCAGAACTAAACCCAGGGAGGTTTTAATTCATGGTAGGGCTACAAGTAAAACAAATCAAATGGAGTAGAGACCAGATGAGAAGCAGGCGTCCTGCCTGAGAGTTAAGAAAACAACCTCTGGCTGTAAAGAAACTGACTCAACAAACAAATAGATGGCTATTCCACCTCACAAGCTAACAGTTGAAGGATGGCAGAACATTTATCTTGGTCAGAATGACATCAAATAGTACAGGAGGGCCATGGACAGGAGGCCAGGGCACAGCTTTCAGGGGTTCAGGAAACAGCGAAGAATGGAGACCAACTTTGCTTTGCTGCTTTTATCTCAGTGCATGGCTCTTTAATCACATGGAAAACAGTGCTGTAGAGTCATACATGGCTTGGAATTTCATTTCCCAGCACTCAAAAACAGCGGTCAATTTCCTTGAGGATAACAGAATTCTTTGAGATATTTATATGCACAGATTTACCTGGATTAGTCAAACATCACTGTGCCCACCCTCTTCTACATCTTCAGAGCTCACCTCTGCTGGACTGTCTGTCATTGCTTGTGTTTATTGTAAGCTCCTTTAGCTACCACCATGGAAATTTGCTGTCATGGGTAGTTGGTGACCAGTATACTTTTATAATTTGCTTTAGCTCTTAATAAATTAAGAATCAGAGCAAGCTGATGATGCAAGGGCACTGGAGTCACAGAGACACCAGAGTAAATTTAAGGAGCTTGCTCTTCCAGAATGTTCTTAGCTATTTCTGATGTGAAGCAGGTAAAACAAAGCAGATAAATTCACAGCAAAATGCATACTGTACATCAGTATCACCAATTTTGCAAACAAACATAATGAGAAGCATTCACATTTTATCTTATTTGGAAATAGCGTGGAGTAGTGGATCAAAATGGGTAAATTAACATAGCTTAAAAGAGATTACCAAAAATTGCAATTTCAAAACTGAGGCAGAATGGAAAACTTGTGCTATTCCCTATGTAGCTCAGTGAGTAATACACATTGAAAGAAAGTAGGTACATATATCTCCATTCCCTCAAACAGGAAACTATTTGCCAGCTACTGCTTATCTCAGCAATATATAAAATCCCTTTATGTATTCCCATAAGAGTTTGAAAAAATCTAAAATCTTTTCAGGGCTCCCTTTCATTCGGTGTTACAACAACCTTCCAACATGCTGCTCTCTAGCATACAGTATGAAATAAAAGTGCATATAAAAACTTCCCTGGTTGGCACATTGACACAGACAGAAGCCGGACTGAAATACTGAGCAATAGAATCATACAGTCACAGAATAACTTAGGTTGGAAAGTGCCTTAAAGATCACTGAGCTCCAACACCCTGCCATGGACAGGGTTGCCAACCAGTAGATCAGGGAATACTGTTGGGGAGGTTAATTGATGTCACCCAACGGAATGACCATGAGAAGGTGGATGAAGGAGAAGAGAAAAAACCAGACAGTATGAGCCAGAAAGGCCTAGTTGTTTGATATGGATTGAGAGCAGCCCTGTGGAGGAGGACTTAGGAGTCCTGATGCTCAAGATGGATATGAGCCAGCAAAGTGCGCTTGCAGCCTGGAAGGCCAACATCATCCTGGGCTGCATCAACAGAGGGTGCTAGCAGGGAGAGGGAGGGGATTTTCCACCTCTATTCTGCCCTTTTGAGGCTCTGTCTGGAGTATTGTGTCCAGTTCTGGTGCCCCTAGCACAGGAAGGATGTGGAGCTGTTAGATCAAGACCAGAGGAGGGCCACTAAGATGAGGGCTGAAGCACCTCTCCTACGAAGAACAGATGAGGGAGCTGGGTTTGTTCAGCTTGGAGAAAAGGAGGCTACGGGGAGACCTGATTGTGACCTTCCAGTACTTAACGGGGCATACAGAGGAGCTGGGGAAGCATACTTTGTCAGGTGCCATGGTGATAGGACAAGAGAAAACTTTTAAACTAAAAGAGAGGAGATTTAGATTAGATATTAGGAAGGAATTATTTATTCAGAGGGCAGTGACACCCTGGTGCTGCCCAGAGCGCTGTGGTGCCCCATCCCTGAAGGTGCTCAAGATGAGGTTGGATGGATCCTTGGCAGGCTGAGCTGGTGGGCGGCAACCAGCCCATGGCAGGAAATTGGAACTGGAGGGGTCTTAAGGTCCATTTCAACCCAAACTGTTCTATGACTCTATTTGTAAAATGAGGCCAATGGCAGTACTCTTTCAAGAGACTTCATAGTGCTTTTTTGTGTGTGTAAAATAGTTAAAATTGGTCCGTCATATAAAAATTCATGAATGGTATGAAAAAGGAAGCGGAAATAGATCAGCATATGCCCTGCCAGTAACATTCACGAGCTCTGTTTTTATGAGAAAACAAGCAAAAATTTGTATTCTGCTTAATTTGCTGCTTTGTCTCATCTTAAAATGGGAAAACTCTTGTGCTTTCAGAGTTGATGTTTCTTTTGCTAACGTACCAGGGCTTGTGCAAGAATTCCAGTTTCAGTGAAGATCTGCAGGGAAGAAAACCACAATCAGCTGTAAGCAGAGGCAGCTGCCTGCAGCATCACCAGCAAGAAGATATTTGGGTACTTCCTGGAATTCCAGACAATGCCCCATGCAAAATCAATGACCTGCTACTGACTGCAAGAAATGAAAAACAGAAACAAGAAAACCACACCCAATTAAATGGAAAAAAAAAAAAAAAAAAATCATGGTGAAAAGAAATGGGTTCCAGCATTACGACCAGTTTTAGTGCCAATGAATTTATTGCCAAAGGCTACATCTAATATAAATATTTTTATCTACACATCAGATCCATTTCCCTTTTGCTACCCTGTACATGTCTCCATTTAAGCGAGAGAAATTGGAAAAGCGTAAATACACTACCATGACTCAGGAGTGATATTTCTGTTACCTGATACATCATTTGGATCCTTTAGATGGTGAAAAACAATATAGCATTATTTGGACCAAAGATGCATTTGATGATGTTGCAGTCTGTGACTGCCTTTTTTACATAAATCAATACAAGAGGGATTGTTTTAGGCAATGCACTCCCTAACTCGCATAAAAGACTTGCCTGATCTTGTTCTCACTTACAAAACCTGCCTCAGCTTCACCCTTACAACTTCACTATAATAAAACCATTATTGCTGCTGTTCAAAATGCCCATTGAGCCACCACACTGTAAATAAGAAAGATATATATGTGCATACGTGATTTTTTATAGCTGGCAATATTTTTGCAAAATACTCAATGGCACTTCTTTCCTTAAGATACTGCAACACATAACCTTTCCATTTTGTATTTGCTATATAAGAATGCACATTTTCTACTTCATTAAGAAATGAAGATAAATATGCATTTACATTATCAGTTGTGTTTTAATGAGCAGATGTCAGTAAAAAACTGCATGGTCACACAAATCTCTATAGAACCAATTGTTCTTTCCAAATACTCTGAATACTGCCCTTATCTTTATGAGCAAGGAGACTACCTGAGAGCAATTCCTCAGTTTCCACACTGGGAGTTTCACAGGCTTATCTCGAGAAATTCATAACTTCTGTCTGCCAAGACCTTTTTTTTTTTTTTCTGATAGAGAATGACATAATCATCGAGTAATTAAGATTGGAGAGGACCTCAAAGGACCCTCTACTCCAACCAGTTCAAGTGGGGTTAAAGAGAGGGCCATTCTCAGCCACATTTTGAGTATCTCCAAGGACTCAGATACACACAACTTGAGGCTGACACAAAGACTGCAAAATCATTGACTTTCACGGCTGACCAGAGAAGCAAGCAAAGACAAGAAAATACATGCAAAATTTACGGCTTAAATTACAGCATTTGCAACTTAGTAGAATACAGTCTTATCTAGCAAGACTCCAGAAATTGCCAAGAAATCAGAGAACACATTTGAACATAATTAGCCTACTGGACTAATTTGACCTTACGATCCACATTGTACATGAGCAGTACTCATTAAATAGTTTTTATATTAAATTTAAAAAAAAGGTTAATGAAGACTTTTTTTAAGTATAAATCTGTTTTCTTTCTCCCTTTCATTATTTAAGTAGGAACTAAAGGCTGCAACCATGCTTACAAGAATCCCAAAGGTGGCTAATAGCATCACTGCTGACTGAATATTCCAGCACATTGAGAAGGAACTAGATGCTCGTTTGTATTTCTTTAATACCTGCTCAAAAGAAGAACAAGAATTTGCTGTTTCCCAAGAGTCACCCTAGAATCCTCTCATTGGGTTAATAGCGTTGTTTGTTGTAGAACTTATCAACAGGAGGAAAATCACCTTTTCACACAGATAGATATTGATAGGATAAGGAGGAACAGTTTTAAACTAAAAGAGGGGAGATCTAGACTACATGTTAGGGGGAAATCCTTCACTCAGGGTGGTGAGGTACTGGAACAAGTTGCCCAGGGAGGCTGTGGGTGCCCTATCCCTGGAGGTGCTCAAAACCAGGTTGGATGGGGCCCTGGGCAGCCCAATCTAGTGACTGATCTAGTGGCAGCATTGTCCATAGCAAGGGGGT